TAAAATGTTCATTTCAAACAAGCTCGCTGAATATACAGCTGGGAGAATTTTTTTTATATCGAATAGCTATTTTATCTTGTTAATAGCGTAGTAGATTAATCTTAATTTGCAAATGATTGATTTTTTTTTACTAATTAGATCAATTTTGTGTTGCCCGCGAAATCAATTTCTGAAAAACCGGTATTTAAATCCCCAAAATGATTTAAAGAGGAATTTTACGGTCATTGCAAGGCCAAATTATGAATTTTGTGAATTGTAGGCCGATTCCGCAACAGGTCAAAAACAGGCAACTGCGGAATCCGCAACAAAATTTGCAGAATCCGGAGCAGTTTGAGGAATCTACAAACAATTAATAATATATGTGTTAAGTAAACTTGGGGGCGCGCAAAAGTGCCGAAACCCAACAGTAGCGAAACTTAAAAACCGTTCAACAGAGCCTAAAATCATCATTCTACGGCACTGTTGAGCAATAATTTTTTTAAGTGCTTCGGCAACGTTGAGCGACCCTCTAAGGTCAGTAAATTAGTGCCAAAGTACAACAGTGCCGAAAATGAAATAGTGTTTAACAGTGCCGAAAATCAATAATTTTCGGCACTGTTGAGCACTTTTCATTTTCGGGACTGTTGTAGTGCCCCGGAAACTTAAGCTGTCGCAGAATCCGCAACTAAGTGAAATCCGTTATTTGTAAGAGGAATTCGCAAATTGTTAACGGGTTCCGTAAATTGTTAGCGGAATCCGCATAAATTTGCGGAATCCACTTATGTTTGCGAATTCCGCTTTCATTTGCGGAAACCGGAGTAACTTCCGCAACAAAACTAATGTACCGACAAAATTTACGTTACAGATTTTTGTACGCAGAATCCACGGAATTTTTGAAGTGGAATCAGCTTACATTTCCGAACATGCTTAAAGATTTGTCTCTGGAATCCAGGAGCATACAGACACCGAATTGTGCATCTATCAGTGCACAGTTTGGCCTCGTAATTTTTGATCATTTTTATTTTGTTTCGCGCCTAAAAATGTGAGGGAGAAGTCATGCGAATTAAAGAAACAAAAATTTTGTTTGAAAATATACTGGGATATTTTGCTGAATGGTGAACTTAAAATTATTAAACGATTAGAGCTTAGGGTCTGATAGGGTACTCAAACATTTGGCCCCTCGCACGTTTCGACCCTCATAAATTACTTGCACTATTCGCCCCTCAAATTGTACATTGAGAAAGCGGCGGTTAATTAACTGTGTAATAAGTTAGGGGCGAAACGTGCGAGGACGAATTTGTGAAATTATTTGGGGAAAATAGTGTGAGGGGCGAAACGTGCCACTAAATTTAAGAGGGGCGAAATGTGTGTAAGGCGAAACGTGGGACATTCGTTTGACAAGAATTTGAAAAAAAATGAAATCATTCCTTTTTATCTGTCCAGATTTTTGAATTTCTTATTTCAATGCTTGTGGTCGAAACATTTGTTACTGCTTGCAGGGGCGATCTAGGATTTTTCGAGGGGTGCGGATTTTCAAAAAGTTTTGAAAATTTTGTCGACTTTTTCTTTTTTTTAGGTCGACCAAATTGATTTTCTGAGCTCTCTCAAATAACTTTAAGCCCCCATTCTGACCAAATTTGTACGGAAAAACAGGACAAAAATGGTGTTTTTAGGCATTTTTTGGAAAAATTTGACCAAAAAATCGCGTTTTTTTATGGCGCGCTCCCACATCAAAAATTAGTATATATGGAAAGTTTAAGGGTACCTCGCCAAAAATAGATATCTCTAAATAATACAAAGGGGGGACCATTTGGGTCTCAGCGTATCGAATCCCTGAAAAGGGGGCGTCCGCAGCTACCAACCCCCCCCCCCCCCCCCCAAATCCGCTACTGCCTAAATTAGTGTGATTTGGGACTCGGTGACCCGCAAAAAAGACGACAGCTGTTAAGACGACAACCATTTTTGATGGGAATTTAAGACGACGCTACATGCAATTCTCCAATTGAAATTCTGAGAAAAAATAAATCGCCTCGCCAATTTGAAAGTTCATGTTGATTATTTAAGCACGCTCATTTGTCGTCGAAATGTCATGTCGTTATAATGTTCCGTCGTCTGATTTACATTTTATAAAAAAAAATTATTTTTAAAATCACGCTGAATTTTGGAACGTAATATACTTCACAATTATCTTTTTTCATTTTCCTTGATTGCAATAAGTTGCAGTTCAAAATATGGATTTCTTTTTATATTTTAGGGCAGTACAATTTCAATTCGAGTTTACAGGGAAAACCAAAAAGTCGCGCAATTATTTCAATCGCACAAAGTCGCAACGTACCCATTTTGAGTCGCAATGGTCGCAACATACCTTATTTGGGTCGAGCAAAGTCGCACAACATACCTTATTTGGGTCGCGCAAAATCGCAACATATCTTCTTTGGGTCGCGCAAAGTCGCACAACATATCTTCTTTGGGTCGCGCAAAGTCGCATAAAAATTCTTCGGTCGCGGAAAGTCGCAACATACCCATTTTGAGTCGCAATGGTCCCAACATACCCGATTTGGGTCGCAATGGTCGCAACATATCCATTTTGAGTCGCAATGCTCGCAACATAAGTCCCCGACCTCAACCCGGGAACCAAAAAATGCTTGATCAAGTCGGTCAAAACCTAGCCAAATTGGGTCGAGTCGGTCAAAACATAGCCATTTTTAAACAAGCCGGTCGAAACATAGCCATTTTTGGTCTGGTTGATTGAAATGTAAGTCCAACAACTCAACCCGGGCTATACGAACCTTCGATGCTCAAGTTTGTGGCATTTTCTATTATATTTTGCGGCTCCCAGGTTGAGGTTTTTGACACATGATTTGCAGAAATGGTCAAATGATGTCCGAGTTTCGTTGCAGTTCAGGACGCTTCGGCTAATTCCCACTAAAAGCGAAAATATTTCGTTAAAGTCGAACAGTGTCTGGTAAAGTCGAGCACTGTAGTGGAACAATGTCGAGCAAAGTCGAACAATATCCGGTAAAGTCGAACAAAATCGAAAACGGACATCGTTCAACTCAAAAAGTCGAAATCGGACATCGCTCGACTGTTTCGGTCGAATCATGAGTCGAGCACCTCAGCCCGGGTTCTGAGGAAAAAAATCGCCGCTTAATTTCGAGCTGCTCATTTTACTCTTGAATTGTCGTCTTAATGTCTTGTCGTTTTAAAAGCCGGTTGTCTTATTTACTTAGCACCTTGGGACGTGGAACTCCTCTGTAACAGGGGTTGGTAAAAGTCAATTGGTAGACAAAAAGTCAATTACTTGAAAAGATTGTCAATTAATTGAATTGTTTGCTCAAGCTTTGTCAATTATCAATTAATTGCAATTAATTGGGTCTCATTTATAGCTTTAGCAACGTCAGTTTTCGACCAAAATTGATTGTTAACATTCAGAAACAGCTGCATTTCAAGGTTCATCGGCAAAATACTCTGTCGTAAGTCACCAAAAGCAAATCCCGCTTTGAAAAATCTTTCTGCCATGTTGGAAGTTGGCCTCAAATATCGTACATCTTGATAAACACTGTCCGCTGATTTCTTTGTACACTTTAAATCAATACTAGGGTACTACTATGATAGAGTGGTCCCTTGAAAATAACCAGGTCCCTTGAGAATAAGACACCTAGAGCTCTCAAATCGTTTAATAATTATGATTACGCCTTTCAGAAAGATATCTGGCAGTTTATTTTCAAACAAATTTCATGTTATGTTACCTCTTAAAACCTCCCCCTCAACATTTCAAGGTTGAAATCTAAAAAAAAAACGCCAATAGTGGGTTTTGAAGTCAAATAAGTCAACCCAATTATATGGTTGTTGAACCGTAAAATAAAGTAAAGCGAGCAAATTTCAATATATAAACAATAGTGATTACAATTTTCAATCTGAAAAGTTTCTGGCTGAACATATTTAGCAAGATTTTTGAAATGAATAATTTATACACAAACTTGTTTTCAAAATTATAACATGCGAAATGCATGCGGGACCTGTCTATCATAGTTGCTTTTTCTGGCTGAACATATTTAGCAAGATTTTTGAAATGAATAATTTATACACAAACTTGTTTTCAAAATTATAACATGCGAAATGCATGCGGGACCTGTCTATCATAGTTGCTTTTTCTGGCTGAACATATTTAGCAAGATTTTTGAAATGAATAATTTATACACAAACTTGTTTTCAAAATTATAACATGCGAAATGCATGCGGGACCTGTCTATCATAGTTGCTTTTTCATAGTAGTACCAATACTAGCTTTACATTTCAAAGACAAAATCATATAAATTTCAAAGTTAGCAAACCTTCAATTATTTGCAATTAATTGGCGGATTTTGTCAATAGTCAAAAATTGGAAAAACAAAGAAGTCAATGAATTGTATCCAATTAATTGCAATTAATTGGTCACCAATTGACTTTCACCAAGCCCTGCTCTGTAATACTTGGTTTTTACCGGGACCCCTCTATCACTCTTGTGTACCGATTTAAGTGCTAGTGTCTTTTTCTCAAGGGAATTGGTTATAAGTTTATAGTTTAGTAGGTGGCCAGTCAATACGCAGAATGGTATAAGAGCAGAATGAGTGCAAGAGCAGAAAAACAAATTATCAACTTTATTAAGCTAATAGGTAAATTAAATATCAGAAATGTCAATAATACCAAAGCAACGAACATTTTATGCATAATTTGAGTAATTTAATGAAGAATTTAGAAAAAATTTAATCACAAAACAGTCAATTCATGCAGAACTTTTTCGTTTTTTGGTATTTTTTGACTATTCTAATTATTGTTTTTTCAATTAGCCCGTATAAACCAATATAAGTCAATAATTTTCTGTTTTTCTGTTCTTTGACCCATTCTGCTTATTGATCCGCCTCCAGTTAAGTACCATAGTATATTATTAGTAGCACGGAAGAAATTTTGATAGAAACTATTACAAGAGTCTAATCAATGTGGTATGTCGTTCAGTATTCTCTAGAAGGAGTGATTATTAAGGCAGAATGGCCGAGCGGTCTAAGGCGCCAGACTCAAGAATTGCTCACGGAGTATTCTGGTACACGAATGTGTGCGTGGGTTCGAATCCCACTTCTGTCAGTAATTTTATTTTTATAATTTTCAGGCCGTTTTCAAAGGAGCAAGAGAGAGACGCAGTTTTATCGAACGCAGAACACTACTGCTAAAGCATGATAAAATACGGTTAGTTAATTTACAAATGTAATTTTGACAGCTTATAGCTCTAAAACAAATGTTCATAAAAATCTTTGTTATAGAAAAAATAAAATCTCATCTACAAATAACCAACAACAACAGCAGAATACAAACAGCAATCAACGCAGCCAGTCTCAAATTCAGCCAAACGTGACAGAAAAAATTTATTCCGCTCCAGAGGACCACGCAGCTAGGGAACTGGATCTGGAAGGTGGAGCTGATCCGGTTGATAAGACGTCATCGGTTAACGAGAAGGACATGGTTACTGATTCAGACACGGAAAGTAAAAATTCGACCATAAACCGAAAATCAAAGGAAGTTGAATCCGACAATGTATTAGACGAAAGGAAATTAGTCGAAGAAACAAACGCTAATGCAGCACAAAATGATCAGTTGCAGTTGAGTACAAACAAAGCTACCCTAGTTTCTAATTCTAAAGAAGATATCAACGAATCCACGATGTCAGCAAATGAGGATATTGAAGCAAAACCTGGCCAGAACACATCAAAATTGTCTAATTCTGACTCTATAAATGCCAAAAACGCAAGTGATCGAAGTGCCAAAAGTGAAAAAGAGCACAAAAAGATCTCAGTTACTTCTAACAAGTCTAAAAGCGACAATGAAGAAGCCAAAGTTCAAAACCAGCAAGATATTGCGAGTTTCTTCATGAAAGAAAGTCCAATTCAGACAGACGAGGAACAACAAGAAAAGATCACAACCAGGTCAGAGAAGTCAAACAAAACTGAGTCGGCTGGGGGAACGGCGAGAGGCAGTGAAAACTTCTACCCCTACTCGGAGTCTGAGAGATCCGCAGCTCAGGCAGAGACGCCTCGGGCGAACAGCGAGACATCGTCTATTCGGATTAACGAACGTGCACACATGACACAAAGCACTCCGAAACCACCTAAGGATGAGGGAAAAGATCGAAGGAAAAAGGCGAGTAGCATTCCTTTCATACTTCAAATTTTTCGTGGATTTCTCTTTAAAATCGCAGGTTTTCTCAAGCAGTTTTCTAAATGCATGCAACGGATCAACTATTTTAAACTCCTGGTTATGAGGATTGATTGAGCGAGTAATGAGGCATGCTAGCGATTCAGGAGGTCTTGCAAAGTAGAGGATGAAATGATTTTTTTTAGGTCAGAAGTCCGAATCGAGAACGGGCACATCCGGTTCCCGAGTCATCATCCTCCTCGACATCTTCGAAATGCTCCTCGTTGAGTAGTCGCACCATTGGAGAGGGCGTGGAGGGAGAGGGAGAGGGAGAGGGAGAGGAAGGTAGAAATAGTAAGATGTCGATTGTGTCCATGTACAGACAGATGCGACAGGAAAGTGTGGTGCCATTTGATGTCACTGCTGAAGACGAGTCCAAAAAAAGGTATATAGCACAGAAGAAGATCCCTCGACGAAAAATTTGCAAAATAGTTAGCAGGATACTTGAGAATATCTTGCCGTTTCGTATTTAGTATCCTTTATCCTTTTAGTATTTTTCGAAAATTCAATTGTTCAAATGGTTTAAAGAACCTGCTGTGAACTAACTGCGAACAGTAACCACTAATTAATACTAACTAAACTAACCAAGACTAAATTGTCAGACGCTCAGTGGACTTCCAGACCCCGACCAGTTCCCTCCAACCCATCCAGAGACATCTGTCGCATGCCAACTTCTCATTGTCTACTCTGGGAGATGTACGAGACAGAGACGACTACGAGCAGTGCGACTCAACTCACAGGGTGACCAACTATATTGCCATCCCTTGGAGACTAAATCATTGTCACTCTGTTTTGAAATTAGTATCTCACTCGGAACATTTTATTTGAACATCGAGTCGAGGAATATAAGCTTGTTTTGTTAAAAAACAAAAATCAGACTCGAACAGTCGAAAGCTTTTGACTGGCTCATCCTTCTGTCAATCATAAGATGGTTGGCGGCTTCCCAACATTATTTATTAAGTTTTGATATGCGAAATGTTAGGTAGCGTTTTTTCAGCAAAAAGTCTTAAAATTTTTCATGCTCAATTTTTAACTTCAGCAGTTTGACTTTTGATTACTTTTCAAATTCGCTTCAATTTCATTTGCTAAATTGAAGGCAAATTGTGTTCTTGAATAGTAAAAGCATAAATGATGCGAAAAATTCTGGATGATTTGTTATTTCTGTTTTCTTGCGCTCATTGACTATGTTTGTAATTTTGCGCTCATTGGCTGTTTGTATTTTCTGATAATTTTTTTTATTTTTGTGATTTGTATTCCTTTTTTGCATTTTTGCTTGTTTTTCCAAAAGGCAGCCGTTTATCAATGCTATATTTATATCAAGTATAAGTTGGGGTATAAATTGATGTATAGATTTTCCTTGAGTTCGTTTGGTCATCCTGGGTAAGAAGGGGCACGGTTGTCAGTCGGCGACAGATGACCACTGTTCCGAACTGGACTTCGCCGCCACCGCTGACTGTGACTCGGAGTTTAGTGACTACTATAGCCACAATGAGTCACAGTACAGCTATAATGCTACTAACCACAACTCAACTGAACAACTTGCTCGATCATCTAACACCAGGCAGTTTGGCAGTAGAAAGCGGAAACTCAAGTGCTCTAAAAACAGGTGAAATTTAACTTAAAATGAATGAATGTTTTCTTCCAAAAACAGTCCTTTCAGCCGTGATTCGGATTCTAAACAAATTCAGTCTACTTCTTTCGGTTTTAAGAAAAACTCGTCTAAAATCGCCTGTTTTTAAGGCAAAAAATTAATGGCAAAAAATTAATGATGACACTGAACTCAATTTAGTAACCCCTAGGTCATTTCTAAAGCAAACCTGGCGTAATTTAGCCATTATTAACTCTAGTTATTGTATTTTCTAAAGCAAATTCAACTTGAATAAAAAACCAACAAAACTTAAGAATTTTTTTGGTTTTTCTGATTTATGACTTTTCTTTAATAGCGTCATTGTGATCGGAACATTCTGTGCTACAGAGCAACCGGCTGCTCGTAAGCTTTTCTGAGCTAAAAGTGATACTAACAATTAATTGTATTAACCATTAACCTTAATTTTAGCTCTTCAGTTGAAAAATTTAGCAAACGTCTGAAAACTATATGGAGTATCTAATTTGTTCGTTTTGCAGATGTTGGTGCGAGGGTCAAGTGTGTCTAAATAATGACCACCAGGGCAACAAAGTGTGCCCAAAATGCTGTCCATTCTTTTGAAGAGATCAGCAAGCTACGCGTGCTCGCCCTAAAAGTCAAAAGCAAGCCTAATACTAGTTCTAGCTATGCTATACAACTTCATTCCAAATAGCTACATCAGTAGATTACTGTCTTATATGGCTCGATACAATTCATTTCATAGTCATCCATAGAACTTAATGGATAAAATATGCGAGAAGAAAATTCTATTTCAGGTGAAGATTTGACCGTGTGAAGTGTGACCAAAACTTGAGTTAGAAAGAAAATCAAATTTACAAATGCATGATCTTCGAAAATCATTACACGCAGTTTTGATACGAAGCTTTTTTCTTGAAAATGTGTGGACGGCTTTTTTCATCACCCGAGTTTCGTGTTATGAATGGAGGCGATCGATTGATTAGCACTAACGATAAATTATCAGTCTAATTTGAGTCTCGAAAAAAATGCGGAAAAAGAAAACAAAGCCGGTGATCCGAACACTGAATATTGTTGTATAATTTATAAGTATAATTAGAGTTTCTCGGCGAAGCGTTAGTTTGGTTTTATTTGCTTCTTATTTATTTTTTTAGCTTAGACTCACTCATTAATGAAGAAAAAAATCTGTGTGATGCGATGCGATTTCGAAGTTTCTCCCTAACGAAAGTAGAGAGTGCGATTTTAGTTTTGGAGAGTGTGGAAAGTCAAAGATACCTCTTCATCAATCTTACAGATGATGTAATTATTCTGTTTCAGTGTGACCAGATCTCCTGTCCTGACTACCAATGATGCGTTGGGTGCGACTGGAAGTGGCGACAGAGCTGGAGGGGAAGGGGGAGGGGGAGGGGAGAGTATGGCGAGATTGTTGGAGCGTCAGGAACATTTCAAGAGGATCCGACTGGCCGAACAGCAACGGAGGAGTGAGATTCAGAGAAGGAATAATGCAGCCAAACTCATCCAGAGAGCATGGAGGACGTAAGTCGAGATTCAGATGAATCAGATCCTTAATTTGCACTTGCATCGTTCCTCAATATTAATTAACACATTCCCTTTGAGCAGTCAATATCCAAATTGAACTTATACCTTATTTAGAGTTGTACCAAAGAGAGGCTGGAAATTGCTCTTATTTTTCTGAATAGATCACCATTTCGGTCATTATTTTGTCTAAAGTAGCATTTGTGGCTGATAAATCTCAGCAATGACTAATTCACTAACAGTTTGCGTTCAGCTCCAGGTTTTGAATATTACACAACTGTCAGCTCATTTCATATTATTTATTGTACTCTTAGATGTTGATCGTTTTTGTTCAATAGTGTGCTTCTTAGGTATGGGTTCAAATCGAAGAAGTTCTACAAGGCGTTCAAGGAAGTGTTTCTGCTTCGGAGGAGCATCGGCCAGGAGCAGAGTCTGAAGCAAGAGGTGGCTGCTCTCACCATCCAACTGGCCTGGCGCAGATATTACAGACGCAAGGTCCTCATGTCCAACAATCCCCACAGGACTATGCTGAACAAGAACAGTCGTGCAGTTAGAAATAAGAAGCAGAACTTTCTAGAGGCTAGAATTTACAGTGAGTTTACAGCGCCAAAATTTAATAACTTTTAGGGGGGAGCGCGCGCCGAAGAAACGCGACTTTTTTTTGTTCAAAGTGGCTTGTATTTTTGGCCTGTTTTTTTTTAATTTTGCCTCCGGCGCAGAAAATTTGACCAAAACAGGGACTTATTAGTTGTTTGGGAGAGCTCTCGAAAAATCAGTTTGGTCTCGACCTAAAAGAAAAGGTCGACAAAAAATTCGAATTTTTTTTTGAAAATCAGCCCTCTCGAGAAAATCTTAGATCCGCCTCTGGTTAAGGCTCTTAATATTTTTTGACTCAACAGTGAAATAATTTTTATATCATGTTCTAATATAAATACACGAGGACCACATATTTCCTTCAAATGAAAAAATAGACAAAAATTTTCAACGGATTTCAAAATTTGTTATTTGGATCTTTTCGCATTCACGATAAGGATGAAAAACTGAAGATCAAATTTTCCCAACCGACATATTTGACTTTTTTAAAAAAAATTCTGGATCTTGTCGCATTCAAAACCATCCAAGATAAGAAACTTTTCAAAGGAAACTTGGCTACCTCGATAGAACTTAACAAACAACATAATTTGCATTTAAGAAAGTAGCTCAGCCTAATGTCAAAAGTTTTGCCCTATTCAGTTAACTACATACGCCACTGGAATTGTATGCTCCGAGTACTGGTATCAATATCTTTCACAGTGTTTTTCGTATATAGGAATGAATAGAATATAACGTGTCAACGAACGCGTAGTGAAGTCACGAATATATTTCAGGTTGATGTTTTTTTTGAGATTTTTAGTAAACATTCTTGAAGTGTGCTCAGCGCAAATTTGACTTTTCGCGATTTGATGTTTAATTCAAATTCATTTTCTGAAAAGCAAAGTGCAGAATGCTTGAGAAATGCGAATTAATTCTAGTTTCAAAAATGGATGTCAACCTTGAGAATAGTCAGCGAATAAACAAGTATTTTTGATCCAGTTTTTTAATCGAAATAGTGTTTAACATAAAAAGTCAAAAACCATAAAGCTGATTTTTTTTTGAAATTCCCAAAATCGAAGGTTCTTTTTGAGCTCTTTTTTACACTAGTCAGTGTAGTGTAATAGTACGACTATTCTTTTTTCCAACTTAAGTCGCAAGTATTGGTGCCACATTTGGTGGCACCTTTACGGCTTTTTGATGGCATGTGCTTGGCACTTGATTAGCAATAATTTAGCACGGTTGTTGAATTTTTAACTCTTCAAATGAACAGAAAAAAGCTATTTGTTCCAAACAACTACAAAATTTACGCTTGCGAGTGGCAAGCGTAATCAAATCGGAATTTAGGTTTTTTGAACTAAATCACAAGGTCCTGGGCTCGAATCTGACCAGGACCTGTTTTTTTTCAAACGGGAAATTCTCCGTTTTAAAATTATTGTCGGCTTATTATTGGCATGCTTATGTTTTTTTTTTGACTCAGTTGCCACGTCTTTGGCTATTTGTGCTGCATGCAGTTTTCATTGTAGTTGCTTTTTATGTTTTCATTTACTCGTTCAATTTGTAATTCTACTAACCTTGACATCGTATATTTTCTTTATTTTTCATTTTTTTTTCACTTGAAAAATTTTTCGGCCAAAACTATTTCGGTTTATAATTTATCTATCGGCTTACTCACCTAATTTTGGGTCCTTCGCTGGAACAATAATTTGTATGCTTTCCTCTCGATTGCGAAAAACGTTGAAAATCTCAGAATAGAGTTTATGTTTCTAAGTTTTTCATGACATTTTTATTTTCGCTCACAATTTTTTGCTCATTAAACGCAGTCCAATGTGTTTCTGGACGTGTGTTCAGCAAATAACGCATCATCCCAGACAAGATTTTGAAGTTTTTAGTTGTGGTATTTTCGAAGAAAAATTCAATTTTCTTTGGACTTATTGGCTCTCTTTTCCTTTCCTGTCTGCTAGCTTGCAATGCTATTTTTGTGGTATCGATTTCCTAAATTCTCCAACTCAATCTCTCGCATTTTTTGAAAAGAATAATTTATACATAATTCCTTTTGATGCTTTCCAATTTATTACATGCAAAGTTAATGTGGATGCCTTCAGTCTGTTATATTTTAAATTATTACATGCAAAATTTCGTCTATTTGTATTCGGTACTACTTCTGCCGCATCGCTTTGCCATGTTATTAGCATTGGTAGCGGCTTCATTTGAGACTAGTGCTTGTCGATTGTTACGCATCCGTGGTCGCAGGTTTGAATCCTATACGTAGCAAAGTATTACTAATCCGAGGCGTATTTCTATTTTTTTTTAATTTCCTTTGAAAGCTGTTTTTGTCGAACTCTCGCTGCTGTTTTCGAAGCGCAGCTTCGCCTCTCAGCTTTACACCTGCGAAAGCAAGTGTCATGTAATCGGGAACTAGGCTTTTTTCCCGTAATTCCTTTTTTTTACTCATTTTCATCTTGCTTTATTCCCGATTCTTAAGAAATATCAGGTTCCCTCGCTCTTGGCATATAGGTAACGCCGTCGCCTTTGCACCCTAAAATCCGGTATTTGGGTTTTTCTTAGTAGGTATGCAATTGAAAATATTTTTCCGGTAAATATTGATTTATTCGTTCAAAACGTCATGGTCTTCAAAAATGTCAAAGTTTTGAAATGTTGACCGCTTTTGAAACTGGTTCAATCTAAGGAAGCTTTTTTCTCGTACGTGACTACGCCCAAATTGTATCTCTCTAAAAGTTAAGGCCCTGTTTTTAATATTTGTTTTTTTAACCGGTTTTTGAAACTATTTGACTTTTCTCGAAAACTTAGCTCCCAAATCTTTATTTTTGGTTTCAATAAAAATTTACAGGTTGCGACGCTCATTTTTCTTTTATACAAAAAGCTATGATTCACGGCAAAATCAAATTTTGGATCGTTTGACCGTTTTTGGAAACTTTTTGCCTTTTCTCGATAACTATCCTGTCAATTCTGATATCAAGGATTTAATTGAAACGACAGGTTGTTGAAAACCTACACCTGCTTAAGCGGTTTTTCCCAATTGTGTTTAGAAAAAAATTGTTCTTCAAAAATGTCAAAGTTTTGAAATTTTGACTGTTTTTTTTGGGAATTTTTCAAAAACTATCCTGCCACTTCTCAGGTTTGGTATACAATCGATAAATTTGGGTTTTGGTTATCTTCTCTGCTTAAGTGGCCACGGACTTTTTTGCAGAAAGTTTTTTAAAGTTATAAAGCTTTTTGACTTTTTCTAAATATCAAATCTGGAATGAAGGGCTTAATCGGGCTTAGTCCCTAATGGGAATCGCAGCCTTAGCTGGGCCCCTAGTTGTCTTATAGTTGTCTTATCGAAAGTTTTCGCCTAGATTTTTTCCAAATTTTTCAGTTTTTTCGACTTATGTTTTTTGTTTGTGTTGTATCGCGAGTGGAACGAAGGCTCCGCTTCGCCTTGTTGTCGACTTTTTTGTTGAACCGGAGTTTTTGTGGAGAAAACATTGGGATCTAAAGTTCCGTCAAAACTCAAATGGTTTGTTGAGAGCGAAAAATTGTTTAAAATTTTTGATTTATCCATTTTTTAAATGCAATATAAATTAAGTTAGTATGAATGGACATAATTGTTTCAGATCGACAAGAGCGGGCGAAGCAGTTTTATGGAATGCGAGTGCAGCGACAGAAGAGACCCTACTACATGCGACACCTGGCATACCAGTCAGGTGAGAAGACATATTCACTCACTCATTTCAATTCAAAATTTCGACCACCTTTCATAATAATAATAAACAAAAACATTTAGAGATATCAAATCACTATTTTATGTGCATGTTTCAGCATTGGACTATAACTTCGCTTTGGACCAGTATAGGCCCGTCATTTATCCCCGTTAGTAGACAAATTCAGCTGAAAATAAAGTAATAGTTTGAGTAAACAACTAGTTTAATGAGTTTCAAAGCTGCAAGTCTACCTGTAAAAAATGAAGATTTCAGGCCTTCATCAAACATATTGCTGTTTCTTGAAAACTACTGTGTTTCAGAATATCCTGGTGTGGCTCCTCGTAGAATACGCAGCGTCAAGCATTTCTCCTACAATTTACGAGCCTAATTTTCATTCGAAAACATTTGCACGCCATTTTGATTTTTGTAACTTGAATGCTATGTTAGATACAATGTGCACTTCTAATTTTCAATTAAGAGTACTTTGCTTACTTATTCGTTTTTTTTCCAGCTGAAATATAGTGTTTAGTAAAGAAAGTTTGTGAATCTGCGGAGAGGATCAAGATTTTTTGCGTGAAGAATTTTTTATAGCCCTCTCAAGGCTTAATTTTGCGGTCAAGGCTTAATTTTTCGATCATTCCTGCATTCCGCAATTCGTACAAAATTGATCGTGGTACCGGATTCAGACCTGTAACTCGGCGCAGAGACAATTCAGCCACAGACAATTCAGTCGATTTAAAATACAGACAATTCAGTCAAAAAAACTCAGACAATTCAGCCAAAGACAATTCGGCCTACTTAGATTAAAGAGAGAAGATAAAAGGGAACAATAAAACTTTTCTAATTTGATTAGAGTCAGAAGGCTTTCAACAGTTTACCAAAGAAATGTAAAACATCAAATATTAAATTTCGAAGATCAAAACAAACTTGCTATGCATAAAGTTTTACGAAATATGTACATTGAAGGTACACAGTTTTAAATACTTCTGTATATGGTCTCGATTGTAGTTTTTTGCGTTTTGAACGAGTTTACCATTTGCTATTGAATACTTGGGCTTCTGTTTTCTGATAATATCACCGGACATCAGTCTCTCTACATTAATTTCGGCGTTTTTTTGCTCATCTTTGAATCGGGTGATCAACTTGGGGAGGGCTGGATGCTTTGTCGATACGAATTTATTGAAGCTGCCATTCCATGCCTCCAACGCATTGTTCGTACGAGGTTCTCCGCTGAGCACCCGATTGAAAACGTTCCAATCGGCAATGTCAAACTTTGGTTTGACGCGTCTATTTCCTCGACAAGCACCAATATAGGTGTCTTCGAAGTAGTCTGATAGACTCTGGAATTCCTCTGAGGGATCCTCTTTTCGGAGCGCCTCAAACGCGAAAATAACGTCGTCAATGGGAACGAATGCCAAGCAAATCATTTTTTTGACATTCAGTCAAAACTCATCATCGTCCATGTACTTGCGCGTAAAACCAAGTTTTTGTACATTGCGCCATACTGCTTGGCCCAGGTGGAAGAAGCAGAATTAAATTTCTGTATCAGGTTGCATTTTTTTTATGGCGTTGCGAACAGCGGCTTCAAAGTCAATGACTACTTTTTTTCCAATTTGCTCTAAGCAGCCAAAAAGTTTTTCGTAAGTGTCTTGCGTCTTATTGGGCAACAGAGCATACACCAAGGGTATAACTGCGTTTTCGATTACACCATGAATAGTATAAACTTGGTAAAAGACGTCTGGTGCCACTGAAAACGTTCCATCGCAATGACAGATTTCCGACTGAGAAAGCAAATCAAGCGCTGGTAGTGTTGCAAAAACTAAAACTCTTTGAGGGGCTCGGTAAATGAGCGTGCTCGGTTTTTAAGGTAAATTCTTGCTGTTCGTCCAAATAACCCACTGCTCAACAATTTCCAAATGTAGATTGCCATTTAATGAGACCGTTCTTAAGTTAGTTTTTTTCACAGTGTCTTTAACCGTCGAGACAAAGATGTTTTTTTCCGAGTTCAGATTTTACGAATTCCATTTTACGTCAACTTTTGCTAAAAGTGAATGAATGAGAATGTTTCGGGTAGTAATCAACCAGTTGTTCAAGCTACTTACTAATGAAAATTAATCAATGTTAATTGTGTCAATGGACCATTTAACTGCAAAAAGTAGGCGCTAAACGCGGTACTGGTTTCTGGTTGGTCAATATTTTAATCGCAATTAGTTTATCTTTTAAAAAAGTTTAAGTTTCAAATTAGTATCAACCAACTACCCAAATTACCTGATAGGCGGTGGCACCCTCCCCCGCCTAAGGCATGATAAGAATATCAGCGTAACTGTGTGGCCAGTAAGTGGTAGGGGTGGTCAGCCCTTTAACTGATATCCTTTTTGACCGCCTGTAAATTCCCAATTCCGGGTCTGCTTTCGTGTAAATTGGTTAACTTTTAAGTATTGCGCAGTTTTTTGTTGAGTTCGATTTTTGCTTAACTATTATTCCAAAATTGGAAACATAATGAGTTGTATAAATTTTTATTATGCTTAGGTATTTTTGGTTCTGTTAATTTTAATTGTTTTATGTGCATTTGAAAGGAATTACTTACAAGTCGTCTAATGAAAGCTTTGATGTTTTGCCGCATGTGAAAAGTTTTTGCGCGCACGTTTCAAAACTTTAAAACTGTCTGAATAGTCTGGCCGAATTGTCTCACTCATTTTGACTGAATTGTCTGAATTTGAAATTGGCTGAATTGTCTGTGGCCGAATTGTCTGAACGCGCTTTAACTCATGCGCCGGATAGAGAGAATAAAATTCCTCGAGTGTGACAAAAATTGGTATGAAATTTTGCGGCTCAGACTCAAGTTTAGAGCTCAGATCCATTTAATTCGAGTTATACATTAGAATATTACTACTAAAGTGTGGTTTATTCGAAGAAGTTTGCTGCTGCATTTTAATCTTAAAATTATTTGGCGTTCAAAGAGCTTTAAAAAACAAGGCACAATATGTGGCTGATTTAGCGAATGAGAGTGGACGCTCCACCCTCAGGGATTCATCATCCTAAAACTTGGGATTTTAAGCGAGCGTAGTGTAATAATAATATTTTTTCCCAACCAAATTAGCAAATATTGGTGCCACTTTTAGGTCACTTTTACGGCTTTTTGATCGCATGTGCTTTGACATTCGATTAGTAATACGTAAACACAGCTGATGCATTTTTCATTCATTTTTCTTGATTTCAGAAATTTTCTAACTCTTCGTATTTATGCTTTCCACTTCATTACATGCAAATTTAGTGTGGATGCTTTCAGTTTGATATATTCCAAATTATTTTATGCAAAATTGTGTCTGTTGGTTTTTGGTGTCTTTTTTGCTGCATCGCAATGTCAGTTTAGTAGCATATCTAGCTACTTTATTGTTCCGACTTTCGATACGAAAGTAACGGAATATTTGTGCTCGGGGTGGGTTTTTTTTTCTTCAGACAAATTTCGACTTTTTAACTAGCCATTTTTGACGGAATTTTTTATATCATTCGAAAGCCATTGTTGTCTTGAGCTTAAATTTGAAAAGATATTTCACCTGTGATCATTTTTTGTAAAGTTATGAGGGTTTAAAGATTGCCATTTTGACCAATTTGGGACAATTAACGCGCGATATAATTGGCGCTCTTAACGCGTAAGCGGAGATTTAATCCGTCTTACAAATCGTTCCAAATTGGTTGAACGAAGCTTATTTGCCATAATTGATTTGTTACAAGGAATGAAATCTATCTTTTTGTACTTCAAATGGCGTGTGGGGGCATGATTTTCATAAAAAATTTCAAATTTGAAAAAAAAATTTCATTTTATTTTATTTCATTTAAATTTTTATGTTATTACTGCTGCTCCATAAACCTTAAAAGGCAGTCGGAACATTCAGGGCTTCGCCCTGATACGAGCAGTCTTGTTTGTAGTTAGTGTTTGCAAATTCTTAAGGGCTTGTAGAGCAGATGCGAGAACATGGGACTATAAATCTTTTGGAGGTAGGACCGATTCTGCCACAGCAAACGTTTCATTTTTCAAAGCTTTCTCATACTTTTTTTTATTGCATTTAATGGAGCAATTTTTTTCGTTTCCTCCATAGTGTTTGCCAAGCATAGTTTTGCCTCTGTGTCCGTTTGTTTGTTTTATCCGCCTCTTCGCACTTTTTTTCATGGTTCATTTCAGCTATTGTCGTAGACCCTAATCTGGGTCTTGCTCGTAGTTGAGATCTTCAACCATTATCGGGGCCTTAATCCGAGACCTTAAGCGGGGTCTAGTAGTTGAATTCTTCTACCTATTATAGAATCGGTAAGTTATCGAACAGATTGTTCTTGCCTACCAACTACATTCTGAACATTTCTTACCTCGAGTTCGTGCATAACTTTGTCAGTGCACTTGGTGGCAATAATGCCGCCCCGTTAAAAAATAGTAACATCATTCGGCAACTTCAAGCCAATGACAAGTGAGGAATTAAGAACGCGGGTTGACCATCTCCTGTACATGAGAACTCCATATTTTTGCACTTTGGCCACTGCTTTGACATGACACATTTTCGTTTAGATAATCGTCCTAAAGTCTGTCTGAAGAGGTTTATGGCGCCATTGTACACTTATTTTGAGAGAAACAAGCGCGCTGGAAAACAACATACTTCGTCAGTTTTCAGAAAAAATGAACGATCTTAAGCGTCAATTTTTGCCTTATCTCATATAAACGTCGGCGGCGATATTTTGGCAGACTTCGAACAACCGATTGGCTTGATCTAAAATTGAATAAATATTACTTGAAACTCCGCCTAACAACCCCCGCCCTCTCTAAAAAACACTAAATCCGTGATTGTACAAAATATACTAAATGAAATATAATAGACAAAAAATTTTTTTTCAGACCACGTTCCTACTGTTAATGAACTCTGCAATAGGATGGTTGTTACCGCCTTTTATCTGTATTTAAACAATGTAGAGAGCTTAGTGTATTAGTATGAATCTACTTTTTTTCCAAATTCTCATTTGGTTGCACTTTAGCTATAATCAGCAGGTAGCGCAAAAAACAAGAACAAACAACTTTGCGTTAATTTGCCAAAAAAAACTTACTTTTTCACTACTTTTTTGCCTCCAAAGTATTTTTTGCCGCCAAAAATTTACTTTCTTCCCGCTGTCTGCTAATCACAATCTGTTGCATTGGAAACTTCATAGCATCTGTTCTGTTTTTGTTTTGCCTAGGGTTTGAAGGACTGTAAGCGTCCGTGGCTGAGAGGAGAGGACGTGAGACTCGTTACCTCGATGTCGCAACATCAAATCCGACTCATGGCAAAGTCTTAACAATTCGAAGCTTATTTCTACTTTCTCTTATTTCATAGTATAACTGCTTTTTTGCCGTTTTCTGGCTAGTGTTTTTGAAGGGCAGCTTCACTTTTAAGTTGGTACCATAATAATATAATAATTCACTTTTGAGTTGGTACCATAATAATTTAAAAGTCGTGATTTAGACTTTTAG